ACCCCGGCGTCCCCAGCCAGGGACCCACCCGGCCACGTGCGCAGTTGGTGGCACAAAGGAGGGACATGCCGGCAACGCCCCGTCACAATGCAGCACGTGCGGTCGTTCACAACAGCGTCAGAAAGCAGCCCACCCGCCCCCACTCTGGTCTCCCTCTCGACTCTGAGCGCCAGAGGGAAACGATCTGAGACCGTGAACAGCAGGAAGCATCTCATGTCGGCCCTGCGGGTCGCAGCTCCAACGCACGGGGCGCCCTGCCCTGCGCGAGGAAACCTGTCACCCAGGACCGGACTCAGCACACAGAAGGGCAGCCTCGAGGAAGACAGAGAGCAGGGGAAGCGGGGTCCCTGACTCAGCACACAGGAAGCCGCAGAATCAGTAAGTGAACGCAAGACTAGGTTCAACGGGAGATCGATAACCTAGCTAGGGGGAAAAATCAGGGAACAAACTATGCAAAACAAGAAAGAAAAACACAGAAACAATAAAGTCGAAAGCATTGCAAGACACAACTTTGTTCAGTTCTGTATAAAAGTGTCCTGGCCTTGGCGGGACAACACTGCGGCCTTAGGGCCGAGGCGTGCCGTCCGGCCGCGGGAGGCCTTCCGGGGACCGAGGTGGGCTCAGCGCGTTTATCGACCCCTGAGAACCCTGTGTTCTCTCCACAGACCCTGCGACATCAGAAACACAGGCTTGTGGCGGAGAGGAAGGCTTGGTGAAGCGGCGAGTAGGTGTTTCCTTTTCAGGATAACGCAGCACTGTGGCCCACAGCCTGTGCCGTGTGTCCCGGGGCCACACTGGGGCCCTTTGGGGAAGCCGGGCGACGCGCTGGCCGTCACCACCAAGACGCAGCATGGCACTGAAGGGCCAAGCAACGCGCCAGGTGGGAGCAAGACATTCAGGCCTAAGACTGTGAGTGGCTAAGACGCCACTGTTTCTACCAAACGTAGCTAACCACGTGAAACAGTCAGTGCAGAGCTGCGAAGGGCAGAAGCGGTGCCCGAAGCCACACCTGAAGCCAGTGTCGCCCAGGCAGCGGGTGGGGGCCGTGGGAGGGGACACGCCCTCGTGGTGCACGGGCTGCGGCCCGCCTGGAGAAAAGCAGACGGCGGGGACACCTGCTCGCGGGAGGAGGTCGGGCCAACCTTCCCCAGGCGGATAGACGGAGCGAGAGCTGGGAGCGCGGGCAGTGGACAGCTGTCTCTAGGATCGTGTGAGAAACGAAAACCACCCCCAGGCAAGGACGTGAGAAGGTGCCCGCCTATTGGACTGAAAAACTGGCAACGCACACCACCCCACGCCTGGTCCTTGTCCCGGTCCCGGTCCCGGTCCCGGTCCTGGTCCAGGAGAGCCAGGGAGGCGCCCGGGTAGCTCTGCATGGCCCCGAGCCAGAAACAGGGGTGCACGAACTGCAAGGACCAGCCAGCCAGTGCCGGCAAAGAGTGGGCAGGGACCAGGGTGGATGGGGCACAGCCAGGGCTGAGCTCCCCTCCACAGGCAGCATCTGGGGAGGATCGCGTGCCCGAGGGCAGCGGGGGGAGCCTGGTCTGAGAGGCTCAGCTACCAAGGAGATGCCCGGGACAGGGCTGGAAGCGGGGGACACGGTGGCCTGGGTGTCCTGGGAGCGGCTGATGCCCAGCATGCGCTCAAGGCCTGGGGTGGAAGCGGAGAGGGGGCGGGTGAGGGCCCGCGGCAGGAGGGCCGCTGGGCACAGGCGAGAGCGGACACAGGGCTGACTTACCGTCTTTGGTCAGGCTGGCCAGGGCCCCCTTTGCCTTGGGCCGGCTGTTCTCTAGTTCGATCTCAATTGCATCCTGGTAGCTGGATATCTCTCCTGAGGCAGGTTAAAGGCCAGAGGTAAGCACAGGCGCCACCCCCATGAGGGCCCGTGGCATCTGCACAGTGAGGTTGGCTGTTACCTTCCACCTCCTCCAGCTGTTTGGACAGGACTTGCTCCAGCTGCTCGGAAAAAGACAGGAAGGTCAGAGAGAGGACGGAGACTGGGGCCTGCCGCTGCCTGGCGTGCAGCTTGCCGTAACGGGGCGGACCCAGGGTTGAGACGCAGCATGCTCTTGGGAGCAGGAGACTGAGCTGTCCCAGGGTCCCCACCCGCAGGCGCTAGCAGCTGGGCCCTGGCGCTTCCCTGGAAACTGCACAGATGCACCTGACGGCTGACGAGATGGCTCGGGGCCCCCAGGCCCCGCACCCCCCCACCACCTCCCCCACAAACTGCACGTGGACCCACACCCTCTTTGGTCTCCGTGGCTGAGCCGCCTGTGAAACGCTACCTCTGCCGTGGCCATGAGCTGGATGGGGCACAGCCAGGCAGGCAGGGCCTCACCTGCTTCATCCGCAGCTTCCTCTGCCCGGCTGTGTACGACGGGGGGTCGCACTCCCCCTCCAAGTCAATCTTCATGAACTCGTCCACAGTCAGCTGGCTGGTGGGGGTGTCTTCAAACTCCGTGAGCCTAAAAGAGACGTGAGGAGGGGAGCCTGGCACTCCTGACAGTGGCGCTTAGACCAGCACTCAGTTTACACAGCCCCCCGGGGCCCTGGCTCCCCGGCCCAGCACCCCGTCACGCACCGCTGTGAGCACAGGCCCAGCGGCTGTCCGGCAGCCTCTCAACCCCCACCCCAGCCCACCAACAAACTAGGTCCTTGTGAGGAAGGGCACAGCGCCTCGCCGGTCCCACAGGAAGACGCGGGAGGCCCCGGGAGGAGGGAGGCTGCCCCACGGGTCCCAGGCTGTGGCCGGTAGGCAGCGGTTCTGCGCTGTGGGGTGCCCGACCAAAGTTAAGTGTCAGCTTGGTCAACTTCCCACACTTCACACAATCATTGAAATGCTTGAATAAGAGAGTTTTAAAAGAGAACTAGGGATCATATAAGCAAAACAAATTTCCCTCTGTCTTTGAAGACTGCCACAGGCTATGATCTCTGTTGAAAGGCAGCCACCAAGTGTCCCAGACTCGTGGGGAAGGCCTGCAGTGACCAGTGCAGCTCTAGCGCGTCACCGTCCAAGTGGGGCTGTGGCCAGAGCTACCCTGACGACCCTGGGAGCATGGCTCCGAAGCAGGAGCTCGCCAGGCCGCTCCAGGATAGGGCACGGTGGGCCTCTGAGCCTGCTTCCCCGGGGAGGCCCATCACTCAAGCCGCACCGACCAGGAGACGGGCGAGGCCGCTCTCAGAGCCTGCCTCCTGACTGTGTGAGTCAGGGTGTCCACCTCAACACGGCCTGGAAGACAGGGGCCACGACTTAGACTGGCGGGGGCGGCGTGGGCCCAGAAGGCCTGACGGAGACACCGCGGGGGAAGCCTGGCTGAGCTCCAGCCAGGACGGGAGCCCCTACCTCTTGCGCAGCGTGGACTCACACACCTTGACCACGCTGATGACCTCTTTGACAGTCCTCCGGAAATCGTGCATTCTGGCTGCAACCAGAAGTGCTGGAAAGGGACAGGACTGGGGGGTCAGAGACGGATGCCTGCGAAAGCAGGGCCACTGGTGTGCCGAGGGCTCCCTCCAGGGGAGCTGGGGTGGCACTGCCCAGGCTGCACCTGTCACAGCACCCGAGGCCCACAAACTGCTCTGCGTGCTGTTACGTGACTACTTTGAAGAAATAAAAGGTGCCCCGTCACACGTTCCTGTTTTAAACACAAGAAGCATCGAGATGCGCCCTTTGAGAACTTCAGCCCTTTGAGAACTTCACATGACCTCTCAAAGCGCACAGTGCGCTCTGAGCTGGCCTGAAGGGGGCAATGCTGGCAACGGACAAGCCCAGGTTGGGGGAGGGGGGCGTGCCGGCCCGGGGTGCTGTGCGTGTGGCCACGACCAGCTGGACCCTCGGAGAGGCCCAGATCCTGGGCTGCGAACTCAGGAGTCAGACTTGGAGATGGAAACTGCTTCTTGGGCAGCACTGACTCTGCTGGTTGCTGACTGTTCAGAAAGGAGTGGACTGGACCCTGAGGCACTGGGTGAGGGGCTGAGAGGAAGAGTAAGGCCCCCCTGAGGAGGGGCTCTGGGTTTAGGGAGCATTCGACTCAGAGCAAGACTGCCGACAGCTGCACCCAGAAGGGAGACCAGGCAACTGTCCCCTGGGAACAGGGAGACAGCCTGAAGGCCCGCGATGCCCTCCGCAGTGATGACTCAGCGCCAGGCCAGTGCCCTGGGACTCAAGCCCAGGGCCAAGGCCAGGAAGCCTACGTCCTCTTGGCCTCCAGGAGTCCTGCCCACTCCCCAAGATGGTGGAGGCCAGCAGGGGCAGGTGGAATCCTTGAGGGCCGCGTTCGGACTGCGCAAGGGAGACTGGGAGGCAGCTCTGGAGACAACCCACCCCCTACCTGCCTGGCCTGACAGAGGGTTGGAACAGAAGCCACCAACACACCGGCAGCGGACCCGGCCACCATGGTGCCCAGACTACCCACCTGCCCCGCAGAGGCCAGAGGGGCGCCGGCCCGTGTGCATCCAGTCCCTCTTCATCCTCTGCAGGAGCCTCAGGGCTGTCATGGACACCTCGTGGTTCTTATCGCCAAACTCCAGCAGGTGGGCAAAGCGCGGAATATACAGGCAGGGGTCTGTGGAAACAGGACCTCAGCGCGGCTGCACACCCCACACTGGAGTGCTGGCGAGACCCCGCCACACACGAAAACCAAGCTCGTGTGACACGCATCCCCCCCAACCCAAGTCGGAGCGCCCCCAACCCGTCCTTCCACCGCACAGGCTCCCCGTCCTCCGCCCCGACACACAGCCTCCCTCCTGGACAGCGCAGCTGGCAGCCCGCCACGCCTGGAGCGGGAACGGGCATGGGCAGGGTGCAGCCGCTGCCCGGGCTGGGGCTCCAGGGCCCAGAGGCGCCGTGCGCTCCAGGAGAGGCTTGCGCAGCGCCTGCTACTTCACTTGGCGTTTTTTTTGTTTGTTTTTTAAATTAGGTTTACTTTTTTGTTTAATGAAGGCACTGGGGATTGAACCCAGGACCTCATGCACGGTAGACAAGCACTCTGCCACAGAACTATACCTCGACCCCCCTCATGTGCCATCTTGAGGGTTACTAGTTATACCGAACGTGTTTTTTTCCATTTTTATTTACTATTTTCTCTTGTGAAATACCGGCTGATGTCTTCTGCCCCCTTAACTACAGCCGTGTCTCTGCACACCTCTTTAAGTAAACGGGTATCTCCTGCTGCAGGAAAGCCAGCCTAGCTCAGGAGGGACACGCGCCCTCTCCCTCCCGGCTCTAAGCTGGGAGCTGAACACAAGGCTTCACGCAGCAGACAAAAACCACCGAGCAACTGAATGAATTCAGCTGACCGCAGGGACAGCCACAGGTAACGAAGGAGCCACGTGGGGCTCCGTGACAGAACACCGGGGCAAGACCGCCTTTGGACGAGACCATCCAGGATGGCTGCGCTCAAGAGGGGCTGAGGCGTGAGGTGGGGTCCGAGAGAGAGCGGCCAGCGGGGAGCAGGCATGCACAGGCAGGTGGCAGGGGGAGGGCAGACAGGGAAGACCCCAGGAGGCCTAGGAGGGAGGGGCCCACCAGCTCCTTAAATACCCCCAGTAGCAGCATAAGCAGGTGCAACAGAGACCCCGGTTGGCAGCCAGCGCCCAGCACCCTCTCCTGGGCCCAGGCCAGACCACTTCTCCTGGCTGCCCTGCATCTACACAGGTACTTGGGACTGAGCTCTGGCCCCTGGAAGCCCAGTGAGGTCCGACAAGCACCCTCTTCCATCCCCTGCCAGCCTTGGCTCACGTAAAGAACCCAGGGATGGTTTCTGAGGCCACAGAGATTGGCAGCAGCATGTAAAGCCGCCTGGGTCCCCCAGGGACGGCAGAGGTCCAAGTGACACTCCACACTGACAGAGGAGGCTGTAGTAGAGTGGGGAGCAGAACCTCTGGTTGTGTTGTGCCACGAGGACCTCAGCAGCCACCCAGCACAGCCCACCAACAGAGCGTGAAAGCCACCAGCAGGAACCTCGTGCGCTGTGGGACCGGGAAGCCTGGCTGGGGAGTCCTGCACCCACACCCACACCCACTGCACAGCACACCTCCCAACCCTGGAGGGAAGAGGCTGTCCCTGGCCCAGCCACAGCCCAGCCAGTGAGAGACGGCCACCACCCCGAGCCCTCACTTTCCTCCGGTGGAAACATAAGGCCTTGGAAGCAGCAGCCCCCGCCACCGCCTGCCCCCACCCCAGCTTCCTCCTTTTTCTCTGCAAAGTGAGGCTCCTCCTCTGTCTGCAGCACACGCCCTGGGGCTGCCAGGTCGCAGGTCCTCAACTGCTCGCTTTGCTGGTAACTAAGCCCCAACACTTACCCCCTTGCAGAGACCATCGGGTGACGGGCAGGCAGGGTCAGCTCTGAGCCTGGGCAGCCTGGAGCTACAGCCTACTTCCACTGTGGGTGTTCTGTTTTGGGGGGGGGTGTGCCTGTGTGTGATTCGGTCCCTAACAAAGATATTACCAGGAGGAAACAAACACACTTTAAAAATGGAATTGCCAAGGGAAGAGGGGAACAGCTCAGCGCAGAGCACGCGCTCGCTCGGCATGCAGGAGGCCCTGGATCAACCCCCAGCGCCTTCATTAAAATAAACAAATGCGCAAACCTCACTACCTCCCCCTAAAAAAAGGGATTGTTAAGATTCCCAACTAATTTCAAGAAAACAGAGCCCATCAGAGCTGGGGATTAAATTAGAGGGTCTCATCCTGACTTGGGTGGGACTTTGACACTGACTGGTTCTTGAAATAAGAAACTGCGAGTTTGAAACTACTGGTAAAAATTTCAAGACAAATATGCCAGCAGTCTGGGGTAGGTGTGGGACAGACTGGGGCATTTAACCTAGGAGAAAAAAGATAACGAGGAGAGAGTAACAAACCACAAGTATAGGTCACGCGACAGAGTTAAATCCCCTGACCAGCTTGGACAAGAGCATGAAATGCATGACATGCTGTTTGCAAGAGACACTTTAAAGTGACGCAGAAAGGTGAAGCACAGAAGGCTGTGCTGGGACCCAGGCGGCAGGGCGGCGGGGCGGGGGTGGGAGCCTTGAGTGGGGCCGGGACGAGCGCTCTGTGACAGAAGGAACACAGCGATCTTAAAAGACAGGACGATCACAGATCTGCAGACACACGGGGCACAGCAAGAATGAAGCGAAGGGAAAACGGTTGGAAACAAATCTCAAAACCACATTTTTAACAAAATGCTCTCAAATTAGATGGACTGGGGGAAAAAGCCTAGATGAGGAACTGGATGCCATCACCACCGACTCGACTCAACAAATACATTTTAAGTTAACACCCTACAAAGTTAACCGTTCTTTTCCAAAGTCTGTGAAACTGTTATGAAAACTGGCCTCCATGTATCTCGGAGGACAGAAATATCACGACGTGCCCTTTGACTTCAAAGGCAAAAAAAAGATACACAGTGCCCTCACCTCCAAACAAATTATCAGCAAATTAAAGAACAATCTTCTAAGCAGACTTAAGCACTTAATTAAAGAAGAAATAGTGAACTAGACAGTCAAGCGAAACATTAAAGACTAACAAAATGACGTATTTAAAATAGGCAAAATGGAGTAATAAAAACAAGTATATAAATAAACCACCTTCACCAGGGAAGGAATTCTGGAAGATAGAACCCGAAACAGTACGGCGCTGGTATACGGGAGACATGTCGGTCAACGGAACAGAACAGAGCCCAGAAACAGGCCCACACGCACACGGTCAAACGATCTCCCACGAGGGTGCCGGGAGGTCAGGGCAATACACAGAAATTAACTCCAAAGGGATTAAAGACCTAACGCTAGGACCCGAATCCGTGAAACTCCTAGAAGAAAAAGCCAGGAAAGAGCGGGGCCTTGGAGTGGGCAATGATTCCTCGAACAGGACACCAAAAGCACAGGCGACAAAAGCAAAAACGGACAAACGGGACTACATCAAACCTAAAACCTTCCGTGCAGCCAAGTACACAACCAGAGTGGAAAATGCTGTCTACAGAGCGAGACAAGTACTTGCAGCTCCTCCACCCCGTAAGGGCCTAGTCTCCAGAATACTCAAGAGAACGCCTAGACCTCCACAGCGACAAAGCAGCCCGGCTCGAACACCGGCGGAGGACTGCGCAGCAATGACCGGCAGCACCACACCGACGCTCCGCGCGCTGGTCATCAGGGCCGAACCTCACCGTTTAGAACAGTGTCCGCGGCCCGCAGCGCGGCGCGTGCCCCCTGGGGGTCATCTCCCCCGGCCGCGCCCTGTCCCCTCCCCACCTCCTCGGCCAAGCTGGGGACCGGCTCCGCCCCGCCCTTGAGGTCACCGCACGGCTCAGGCGCCCAGGCTGCAGGACTGGCCTCGTAGCGAGGCAGCACCCCCCCCGCGTCGGGGGTCCTGCGCTGAGGCCACCAACGCCGCCGCCGGCTGCCCACCGCGAGCCCGCGCCCCACGTCCCCCTTCCCGCAACTCTCCCGCCAGGCTCCTGCGGGAGCCCGCGCCGGTCTGGGCCGGGGGCGGGGCGGAGCCACGGGGGCGCACGTCG